GGAATTAAAACGTGGTGATGGTTGTACACCCTTGGAACATAATAAAAACTATGGAATGAATTATATGATATGTGGATTATACCTCAATAAAGCTATAATATTTTTAAAAGATATACACGTGCTCTAATCTAAGTGTTTGAACTCTTACTTGAATTTTATGAAGTAGAAAAACCTAGTCAATGGATGACTGTCAATTGCAAAAGCTATTTAGTGATAAAATGACTCAGGGTTTCTACTCTGATTAACTTGATATGTAGGGAAGACCATGTTGGATTTCCTCAGGAGTTTCTCTTGTGAAGAACAGGGATTCTGTCTCCCTACAGATTAAAGAGAATCAGAAGCCCTCCAGATTATTAAATGACTCTGAAGCTGCCAATGGCGCCCACGTGCCAGGACTGTTATGTACAGCCCTACAGGTTGTGCACTAGACTATGTGTCATGCAGACTATGAAGTAGATGGTGCTCCTGAAGTTGTGCTTGCTGGCAGCCCTGCAATGTCCTTCAAGGAGTCTTGGACCCAGGCACACTGCAGTAAGAACAGCACCACCATTAATTATCTGACAGCACAATTTTAATCATGACTGTGAATGTGAACTCTGCTCCACAGGAATCTCTCTATAGTCATCACAGTACATATTTAGAATATTTCTCTTCAGCCCAGAGGAAAACTTAAGTGTATTCACAGGTGGTGCTTCTGTAACCATAAAAGCACTTACAACAAGTTCAATAGTCAGCTGTACATCAAGGTCACTAGAATGAACTGTTGCCTTTACACCTCAGGTCCTAAATGACTTGTGGGGTGAGTCTAAGTTCCAGAGCTTTCCATGCACAGTTTTACTGTGGAAGCCTCTTATTTTCAGACCAGAAGTGAGCTTAGACAAAGTAAAGAAAAATATTTTTTCCTTATTGTTGGAAGAAAAAGGGCAAAAATCAGATGTCCTATTACACATCCTATATTTATTTCTTGTATGGTACTTTTTACTAGGCATCCAATATGATTCCATCCATTCTGGATTGCATGTAAGATTCTTCCCTTATATGGATACCCCAAAACATAGAAGGGATCTATTGAGGACAGGTAGCTCCCCTTCTTTTCTTGTCATTAGTAAATATTTATGAATATCTGATAGCTCTTAACCTGTCAGCTGAGTCTTGTTCAGATCTAAATAAGACTTTTTATTGTGCGCAGTTTCCTACAGCAGCACACCATTTCTGGAGCCGCCTCACTGGGAGGACTCTGTCAACAATCAGCATTTCCCTGGCATTAACATGCAATAAAAGACAATGAAGCACGACTCAATTAAACCGCAAAAAAACTGCCTTCAGATAACATTAACCCAGTAGTTTTCAAAACCTACGTGGGGCTTCTGCTGCATGACTAGCATTAAGGTCAGTGCTTTGAAAACAACTGCCTAAGCATCTAACAAACCCCACACAAGATGACTTAGAGGAAAGAGCAACACTCTGTTTTGATTGTCTCCATCCCATACTGTATCCAGAAATTTTACAATTTCCAGTATGCAGTATCAATTAGATCTCACCACTGAAAAGATTAAGAACAAATTTTCCCTTTGAGATGTCAGTGGAAATTTAATTTGCACAGAAGATACAGTTTGGGAGACGTTTAGAGTCAGATATATTTAAAACAAACAAACAAAAATTTTGCAGGGAATGGTTCAGAAAAAATATGTAAGCACGCACAATACGAACTCACAGGACATCTGATATCTGGGTATGTCCGTCAACACATTCCACAGGCAGAAAAGAGTCTTATAATAAAATTGCCGAGGTTCAAGAGAAAAGATGGAGCTCATCTACCAATACGTAAATGCATGTCTTTATATCTCACTTAACCAGGAGGGCTGGAAGTGTTCCTCATAGAACCAGGGGTTTTTGTTTGTGTTCATTTTTGCTGTATTTGAAATACTTAACACTCTAGGTTTAAATCTTCAATACTTTAGGTTTTATTATACCGAACATTTAATCATTTCAGTTAGAATTGCTCTCATTGGACCAAACCACTAGGAAAAAGCTTTATGATTTCATCCAAGTAAAGATAACATAGATTCCAATATTATACAATAAAAATTTTCAAAGATTTCTTTGTTTGGGGAAATTATTAAAATTCTTTCACTTCAGTTGTAACAAAAGGCATGGATAAATGACCAGGGGCATATATTAAACTCATGGGTAAATGGCAAAGGAAAACACTCTGGCACATTTAAGATATAATTTATAAACTCCAAATCATTATTTTAAGCTATGATTAATATAAATTCTTTCAAGATTAAATTCCTCTTGTAAGAAAGCTATAAAAATATGCCAACAGAAGTGGAATCAAATAAAAACAATCATTTAAAGTAGACCTTTAAGATAAATTTAATACATTTAAAGCATGATACCTTTTTAAAACTATAGAAATCAAAATGCAAATTGAAATCACAGGTTAATTAAAAAATTATCAGAAATGATGGCAATGGAGTATGATTAGGTGTCTCAATATAGACAACCACTGTTTATTATATTCATAAGCCAGGAATATAAAATGAAAACCTAAAAAAATTGTTAATTCAAGTTATGAAGGCAATTGATCAGGATGATTTGAACGAAGGAATGATTTTTCTCTTTGAAAATATTAAAAGATTAATGTATTAATCTTTTTTAAAAAGACTAAAAGTTTACTAGTTGTATTAGATTCCTATGGCTGCTGTAACAAATTACCATGAACTTGAGGCTTAAAACAACACAAATTTATTCTCTTATAGTTCTGGAGCCTCTGAGGGGAGAATCTGTCGTCCGCCCTTTCTCAGCTTCTAGCAGCGCGTGTGATCCTTAGCTCCTGGCCCTTCCTCCATCTTCAAAGCACATGGCTCCCATCTCTGCTTCCATCATCACATCGCCTTCTCTCTGTAGCCAAATCACCTTCTGCCTCCCTTTCCTATAAGGATACTTGTGATTGCATTTAGGGCCCACCTAGGTTCTCCAGGATAATCTCCCATCTCAAGACCCTGAACTTCACCACATCTGCAAAAGCCTTTTGCCATATAAGGTAATAGTCGCAGCTTCCTGGGATCAGGATGCGGATATCTTTGGGGTCATTATTCAGTCTACCAAGCCAGTCCAAAAACTATATTTTAAAATACCCATCTCCGTCCTAGGAGTTATACAAGTTAATGCTTTCTTGATCAGCTTTACTCAGCATCTGTCATTATTTTCCACTGAGAAGTTTTTGCTTGGTCAGACTGGCTCACCATCAATATCTTTCAACTGAGGCTCTGTCCCTGAGAATATCTGTGTAGTCTCTCAGCCCAAGTTAGACACACTGGGCAACACAAGAAGGGTGTTGCTTCCTTTGAAAGATAGGAACAAATGTCACTATTCTTTCCATTACTAGTCATATGGATGGATGGATGTGTTTTGTTTCATCTTGTCTAATCAATGGATTAGTGATCTACGCTTCAAACCAAAATACACCTCTCAAAATTATTCCTAACTGGTCAGGACAATTTAAAATTTTTTTCTCTTCTTTAAAACGTGCCAATTATTTCTGAAAGGCAGGCCTGGCAAAGTGGAAATAATGTGGGATTTGGAGTTACAGCTCTGGGCTTACTACTTACTAGGTTCTGTGTAATCTTGGTAGTCAAATGCACAACATTTTAGGTGCTCAGTTTACCAGATACTCAGTTTGTATTTTATGTATTGCATTGATAAAATGGTGATGCAAATACCTACTCCAGAGTTTTATTGGGAGAACATCAGAGTGTTGCTATAATGGCTGGAATAGAATAGCTGCTCAATAAATATTAGTTACTTTCCACCTTTTATATTAGAAAACCTGTCTACGAAAAGTGCACAGTTGGGGCTGGCATGGTGGCTCAGTGGTTAAGTTTGCATGTTCTATTTCAGTGGCCCGGGGTTTGCAGGTTGGGATCCCGGGTGTGGACCTATGCACCACTTGTCAAGCCGCGCTGTAGCAGGTGTCCCACATGTAAAGTAGAGGAAGATGGGCATGGATGTTAGCTCAGGGCCAGTCTTCCTCAGCAAAAAGAGGAGGATTGGTGGCAGATGTCAGCTCAGGGCTAATCTTCCTCAAAAAAAAAAACGTGCACAGTAAAATAGGATCAATTTACCATTATTCAGGGAGATCTACAGAATGAATTCAGATATAACTGGTAAGTTAAGTAACAGGAAAATAGTAAGGATCTCACTAAGCACTTGATAACAGCATATACTAAAAATGTGAAATAACAGTGTTGCTAAGTTTTGAGTCAGGCATTTGGTAAATTAAAGTTATCATTCTATTGTTTAAAAGGTTATTTACCTATGTCATTAAATTATCATTGAATTGTCAATTCTCGCAATTTCCTACACTGTTTTGCATTTGTGTTATGTCATTCCAAAATGTTTATATTAAAAACGCTAGCAAAGCCTCAATAAGTAAGTGTGACTTAGGTATCAAAACAATAACTTTAAGAATCCCTTGGATAGTGATGGATGATACAGGTATTTTTCTAGATCACAGAAGTTTAGTAAGAAAATCCACATACTAAGGTGTAAAGGTAAAACTTCCTTTCCCCTACAAAAATATTTGAAGTCATTCTCCTGAGAACTGTCTACTTTATACATCATTCTTAAGGAGGTAAAGAAGCTGATAGAGCAATTGTCCTTGCCAACACAACACAGATCTCAAACATGCAGTGATTGGCCACTAAGGTGCTCAGAAGCAGTCTAGAGTTTCTCAGATCTCCATAGGATATGTCATTAAATCTTCTCCTCCTGCTGGGCCTGACTTCTGGGAAAAAAGCATATGGTATAAAAATTACTATATTTGGTAGTGAATACTAATGATTGCTCAGGAGGCTCATCCTTCAGTCTCCATGGCCTTTAGCATCTAGTTGGTTATAAATGTGACATGCTTTGATTTGATTTAATAATCTTTTTGAATTTATAGTTCAGAACTTACTGCACAAAATGTATCTGTAAAATCAGATACCCACATATAGAGAGAGACATATACATTTATTTTGGGTGATATCCCATTAACAAACTGTAAAATTAGGACAAGAAGACCAAGATCAGTCCAAGGGAAAGTTTACAAAGGTGCTTCTTCCTCTTAAACTGTAGGACCTGGAAATAGATTCAACAGAAACATACACATACACACAAGCACAGACACATAAGTGATATAGGGTAAGACTTTTTTCTACAGTGTGAGAATTGGATGCTCAATGATGTCACAACTAAAAGGCTATATATAGATTTCTATATGGGCAATATCTTAATCATTGTATGGAATGGCAGAAGAAAGTGTTTTGAAATGTGCAGAAATTATTCTATGATCTATATAAAAACAATAGCATTTTCTGTGTTACAATAAATTTGCAAGTTGAATTTCATTCATGTTACATTACACAGGGCATATTCTGTAACACTCAAAACCCAGAATGGTTAATAACAAGAATTCCAAAGAAAGAATTGAGAAAAATTTGGTTAAAGATGTAATTTTACTCCACAAAAACAGCTTTTTAAAGATTTATATAAAGTTAATTATACTGGCTCAGCAGTATACAAAATACGTGCTAAACAGTATGACAGTGACATGCTGCATTACCTCAGATGGGGTAAGTCATTTGGGTAATTTGGTTAATAACATAAATAGTTAGTATTGTATACAAATTTTATTTACTGAGGCCAATAAAAAAAAAAACTCTCAGAAGTTCGGTATCTTTGAATCAAATGTCACTGCAAAGTTAAGACAATGTAGATTCCATAATACATATTGTTATTTTCTAATGTCTCCATAATGAAAAATAATATAAAATATGGATTTTGTATCAAAACTGTTTGTCAAAAAGTACAGTTCACATCAGAAGTTAACATCACTGGGGAGTTAAATGATTAATACAAACACAAATACATATTACAAATATTCTTTTGTTCTTCACTTACCATGATGCAAACTGCGAGGATCTAACCTTTAAGGGTTAAAGAGTTTAATCAATGTCAATGTCTGATCTTCTGAAGGCGATGAAGAACAGTCTGTCTGCGATACCCAACAGAACATCACTTTGTCAAGCCACAAAGCGCCCAAAAGCTTGTCAAGTAAGTTACCAGAAACCTCTTTGTGGTTAGAACTCAGCTCCTTCCTGCTTGACCTATTATTTGATATTTGACCACTTGGTTGCAAGACACTTGCTCTTTCTAGCTGAAATGTCACTGGGGCATCTTGTCAGCTCCCCGACATCTCGGCCTGACATACAATTTTACTTTTGTGTGCTACAAGGCAGAAAATGCAGGGCAATGGCCTTGTTTTAAATTCTGTCAGCATCAAAGATGGGCGTCACTCTTAGGTCCTACCAACAACAAAAACAAAAAAGGAGTCTATTTCGAAGGTCAAAACAGCCATTACCTCGAAGTTTTTCAGCTTCTACTAAACATATTACCTGCTACACTGGTGTGGGAACTGTCCTTATACAGTGCCTAAACACACCACAGAAATCCTCCCGGCACAATTGCTCTACTTTCTTATCAAATGCAGACTTGATAAAAGGACGAGTTTTCAATGCCTGCAGGGACCAGATTCAGCAGTTAACTTAACTTGTTCAAATGGGCAAGTGGTATCATGTAGCTTTACAAGGAGCAACCTGACCTTCTCACATTGACCAGGAGTGACATTATTGTGCAGGAGGAGAAGCAGTCACATCATTTCTGTTTTGCACAACCTGCTTAAAGTTTGCAACTAAATGCTTGTCTTCAGTTGAGCTGACAAGAGAGAAGAGGGGGCTCAGTGAACCATGGCAGGGCTGCCATGAAATGACAGGAATCATTGGCATACATTTCAAATAGCTCTCTCAATCCTATTAAAGTATTGCAGTCCTGCTTTAAAATAGACAAGTATGAAACAACTTTGATAGATAGAGACTAAAATGGCTTATTGATTTTTTTAAGTCTGAAGGAAATTACCCAAAATGTGTCATTCTTTAACATTTAAAAATATGTTACATAAAAATGAGCAACTGTGATAATAAATAAAACTTAGAGGGGAAAAAGTTGGTTATTTCATTATTCAAGTAGACATAGACACCTGCACACATCAAGCTATCACCCAGTTTTTACAAACCCACTGCCACTTGTGCTGAAACAAAATTCAACTGATAAGAAAATCCCCCTTCAAAACAATTTTAATTGTACTGTTAACTCTTCTTGCATTTTTCTTTTATTTCATAAAGTCACAACCCAATCTGCGTTGGTCTTTTGGCATTAGCAGACATGGTCACTGGAGAGGACTGAGACGATGTCAGGGGCGCAGGATTTACGAATGTCTCCTTTAAGAAAGCGTAAGTTGTATCAAGTTCACCTTTCAATGGCAAAAAATCTCCAACAACAATTGTGTCACCAGGAAGAGCAGCTCTTGAAGGAATGGAGAGATTTGAATGGTCTCGTGATCCTGTCTGCGATATAAAAAAGAAAAAACTAAACGTAGAACTGACAACATTTAATTGGAGCTTAAAACCATAAACACAGAGGTGGACTAATAATCACTATAATATGAAATGAGGTAGAAATTGTCATTTGTATAATCTATATGATAATACATTAATATTAAATTACTTTCCAAGTGTGATTGAATCTCTTATTTATTCCATGTCATAAACTTCTCAGGACATCAGGAGTTTGCCCAAATACTAAAACATTGTATAAAACTTTTATAAACTTATTGAATCGGAGTCAATACGATCAGTCATTTTTACCTCTGCTTCTATCCGCTGGCAATTTACAAAAACCCATGCTAATAGTGTTTATTTCATTATGCTATATAATATGTTCTATATAATATGGAAAATTAGACGGCGTAGAAAACAAACTATGGATATTTATGCTTTTAAAATCTATCAGCCTGACATTTACTTGATGAATACAGCACAAAGAAAGATAAGTCAATCCTAGTGACCTCTAGAAAAGAGCACCCTGAGACATAAAATGCTAGTGCAATGAATATTTTGCCTTTGCCTTTAATAATAAGGCCACCACCGTGTTTTAATAAAAACTGGGGTTTTTGTTGTGGTGGTTTTTGGGTTTTTTTGCTGAGGAAGATATGCCCTGAGCTAACATCCACTGCCAATCCTCCTCTTTTTTTTTTTTCGCTTGAGGAAGATTAGCCCTGAGCTAACATCTGTGCCAATCCTCCTCTATTTTTTTTGTACCACCACAATGGCTGGTGGCTGGTGGCTGGTGAATGGAGTAGGTCTGCACCCAGGATCCGAACCTGCAAACCCAGGCCGCTGAAGCAGAGCACACGGAACTTAAACCACTCAGCCACGGGGCTGGGCCCTAAAACTGTTTTATTATAAGTATTAGGAAATCATGTATCAAAATATGAGATTGCAACATGAAAACAATTTGTCACATATTTTTAAACAGTACTGGTATCTAGAAACTATTGGAAATCAAACTTTGAAAACCCAAATACTCATGAAGTACTTGAAAACAGAATTAATATTTTGATGAAGCTATTCATTTAAGCCCCAAGGAACACTGGTAATCAGTAGTTAACATTTAACATGAATGAAATCTTACCAATAAAGCAGAAAGGTATTATTTTATGACATTCATAGATAGTAGGAAAATAGCGATCAATTGTATGACAAGAGTCTTCCAGATTTCCAGCAAATAAATGTTGCCGAGATAATAAGCCTAGTCATAAGTGTCTCCACTAAAAACCACATTTTATATTGCAGAGTTTTTTAAAAAAAATCTTTCTGGTAGATTCTCTTACAATTTTGACAACAAAATAGTGTGAACTCTAAAGATCAGCTTTATTATGTCATGCTATACAAAACAGTCTCCACACGTGAAAACAAGAGGGAAGCCATTGCCGGCGTTAGGAAAGTATTAGAAATTCAGCTGTTGTATGCGTTACCATTTTTGTGGATCTTTTTTTAACTACAACTGGAGAAAAATCAATGGCTGCATCTAACACCTAGTTCAGCAATTTTCTTTGATCTCTGTTCTTTTGATTTCTTGATACGCCACGGCAAGCCTACAGCTGATGGAAATCATTTCTTTTTATGCTGGATGTTAAAAAACACCTAAAATGGCCACTTGGCTGGCTTTATGAAGGAGAGGGTTTAGCTTCTCCCCATGGAAGGAAGGGAATTCCTGAGATCATGTGTTGACCCTGATTAGCGGCGCTGAAGAGGTTTCACTTGCACAACTTGAACGCTGGGCCAGAGCGTATCAGTTCAGACCAGAACAGAGGCATCTCATTACATCAGAGTGGAGGTGAACTTTAACTGCTGGTAGAACCACCTTCTCTGATTGTTTTAGCTGTGTGTCGGAACTGGCAGTGTCACTACCTGGTAGATTTTGCTGCTGTAAAGACTACAAGGCCATCTACTAGCTTTCCGTTCTGTCAGCCCTGGGGATAAGGAGAAGGCTGGAAGGTGGAGATGGTGGGGCCCAATTTGCTTCTTAATAGAGTTTATTTCTAGCATTAGTATTCTCTATCCTGATAAAAGAATACTGTCAGGGAAGCCTTCAACAGTTTGTTGTTACATCTTTATACTTCAAGCTCTGGTCTAAGAAAACTACATATGAAAAGAAAGGAGCGTGCAGAATCAGACAAGGAAGCTCAGGTATTCTCTGAGGGTATTTTCTTCTAGATTCTTCTAGACCACAGAAAGCTAACGGTGTCCAACTGGCCGATCACATCTGTTTTGCAATATTAGATATTCAAATTTACTCAAACCTATGTTCTGTCGTGAAGTTTCCTTTTTTTTCCCGCGATTCTATCAATCTAGCACATCCATCAACCTAATCACACACCAGGAAGCCCGCCCTTCAGGGAAAGCCCGTACCTGCTCATTTCTCCTCAGTATTCTGCAGATCTTGGCACTGCACAAAGGGGTCTCTCTTTTTCCTTTTCTCCTCTTACTTTTTAATACAGTATGTCTATCTTCCACCATGCTGTCTAAAAGAATCTTTTAATCTAATATAACATTTTTTCACTAAAAAACCTTGAGATAGGGTATTGAGTATTTCTCTAGTATTGCACATCAGAGTCTAGCTTTTTGCATACTATCTTCTGACTTTATGTCCTAAATGTGGAAAATTGCCTAAAATAAAAAGAGGTTTCCTTAAAGGCTTGCACCCCTAAAACGTATGTCCTCTACCAAGTAAACAGGTTTACTTTTGTGTAAATGAAAATAAAAGTTTTTTGTTGTTCTTACTAGGTCATTTGCTATATTCCATACACTGCTAGAAAATATTTTTTTTCATGAAATGGGATAAAATCTGATTTTAAGTCACTTATAAATTAAAAACAAGCCAGAAAAAATCCTGATTTGAGAATGTGATGTTAAAATAAGTAAATATGAACTATTTTTATTGTTACAAACAATAGCCAGAAATACATCATAATACTTTTAATATAACACACAGAGAAAAAGACAGTTAAATAACTTTTTATCAGAGACCATTAAAAGTTAATATTTACCACCTGATCTTATATTTTAAATCTGTAAAATCTATGGTCATTTAAGCTACTTTTTAAAATGCTGAGGTGTTCTGGGAGTCTCTCATGTAAATCCAGATTTAAGCAATTTACAAAAAAGAAATTAGTTACCTGAAATAAAAGCTAGGTGCCATGTGAATCTTTATGGAAGCACTTTTATTTACTCAATAAGCTGTAAATGATTCTATTTGAACTGTTATAGTCCATCAGCTAAATATATATTCACAATACAAAATGTGTCTACTAAATTTCTGCATTTTAGAAATCTTATGAAATATAGTAATTGGCCATGTCCAATAGCCATTTTTCAAGACTTTAATATCTTCGTTTTCTAACAGTGTTTTTTCAACAAAAAATAAATAAATAAAGCATTAGGGTAATAATAAGATAATGACTCAATAAATTGTCTATAAATCAAAGCTGTTTTGCAGACCAAGGCTTCTGAAACAATGACACTAAGCCATTTGTCTCCTGGGTAGCATTTATGATCAAGTTAAGCCTTCCGGAATCTAGTATTATAAAAAGTGAGGGGCGGTGTGATTTAGCAGGCAGAAAAGTGTTGCATGGAGATTATGCTAGGCACACAGCATGGTGAAAAGAGTACTAGACTGGGGACCCGAGGACTACAGTTTCCCCCAGTTCTCTTACAATCTAGCTGGTCATTTTGGGCAGGTGAATCAGTCCTTCTCGCTCTCACTTCCCTTGCCTATAAAATGAGGAGCCAGACTCTTTCCAGTTCTGAAGTTCTACAGGCGCATCACAATTCCACCCATGATGGCGTATGTAACGTTAACACCTAACTTTGGGGGATGACCTTGACCCAGAAATCAAAGTTTCCCAAATATAATACTTAAGACTTTGAAGGGCTACAGATAGGCCATTCTTAAGGGGAAGGGATACATATTGCACACGATTCTAAAAGAAAAAAAGACAAACAGATTTAAAGAAATTAGCCACAGTTTAGAGGATGTGGCTTCATTCAGTTAAACTCTGTAGCGCATTTTTTATTACTTCGACCTCCATGATGATGTTTTAAGCTCTGTAAATTATTGACTGGTTTTATGTAGAGTGTGCAGCTCCATATCAACTGATGAAGGAATCAAAGTACCCACAAGAGGGCCTTACAGTGAAGGTCCCCTGCCATCTCTACTTTAGCTTCTGATGTGTTCTTACTGCCGGAGCCTCAGCACTCAGTCTCACAGAGTTTTCTTCCTTCCAAATACTTCAAGTTAGTGAACCAAATTCTACCTGTCTCTTGTCCAGTTCTGCCATGCTGAGATCATGGGACACTGCAGTTTACACAATCAGAGCTGGCAGTACTCATGTATAGTTTTCTCTTGTGCAATGCTCAATTATAAACCTTATACATATATACACACACAATACACACACACACATGCATGCAACTGATATATATATAGACACACATATATATACACACACAATACACACACACACATGCATGCAACTGATATATATATAGACACACATATATATACACACACATATATATACTCGCTATATGCATTCACATATACACATTATATATACATACATAGATGTGTGTAGATGTGTGTATATATAATATATATATATATATACCAGCTACCACATCATTAAATATTTATTCCTTGTAGTTACCAATTCTAACTTTTAGTTACCAACACCAGACCAGCAGCAGTATCTTACGCATTCCTCTCCCCATAAGTCATTAAATCTTAGTACAGACAGTGTGTCTCTTTAGCTCAGTGACATCAAGATCTATGTGGTTATGTGAGTCAATGGAACATTGTAAAGGAGTCTCTAGGTAGACAGAAAACAACTTAAGAGGCATGGGTACCTAGAGATTAAGAAGGAAGGGTAATCACAGAGGTAGAAGCAAATCAAAAAACAGAGGTAGAAGATATTAACAACAAGCCTGATTCACATCTCAACAAT